GTATTCTGGGTGAAATCCAATGGTTGGTGACCGGTTCACGTCCCAATTTAGTGACATGATTGAAGTGAATCGACTTGTGTCGTGTGAAATCCACACTCCCACTCCATGTTGAATTTATGAGGAGCGCAGTCCTTGATTCTAGTTCTAAAATGTTTGAGATGACTTTCGGGTTTGCAACCACTGGATCGCTGCGTCTGATTTGTGTTTGAATGCTTTTGCTGTTGCGGGGTTTGTTTGTGACACGCGTTTTCCTGAAAAATGTCATGCAAAGTTGAGTACCTCCGATGTCTTTCTTAGAGACACATTCGGCCGCTATATATTGTCGGTTTTCCCGGTTCACGTGTTTTTTCATGTTCATGGTTTTCGCGTGTTCGCATTTTTTTGCGGCTTTCACACGTTTTCGCGTGTTTGTGGTTCTTTGCGTTTTGGATCCGTGAACATCGCTGGACCAGCGGACGGCACGGAAAAACAAAAAACACATTGCAATGAAGTCGAACGGTCGCAGATCGAACATGAAACCTTGGCAAACACGTCATTATACCCCCTGCTGACCCCCCACTCCCGAATGGTGTTGTGAGTGTGCACATGTGAACATTAAAACTCACTAGCCAACACTGCCAGGTCGTTAATGCAAAGAAACTGGAAGAAAGACCTGACGAAACAAATGTTCCCGTTTGGTTTGTCTTTTTGCCTGGGTATAGCGCTGCGTCTTGGCTGTGTGCCCTCTGAATTCGCTCCACGAAGTGCAGCAAGCCGCAAACATGGCCAGAAGCGCTACCCACGAAGACATCTGTGCGTAGGCGAAGATTGAACAGGACAGGTTCGACACAATCAACAAGACCTCGACAGGTTAAGCGAAACACAAGCGCGGAAAAACATGTTCACAAGACTATATCGCAATATAGCAAAGTCTTATTGGTGGCTTTCACCAAAGCACATCCTTTGTCGGTGCTTCTTTAGCAGTGCCAGCACATATATATGAGAAGAAACTGAAGACATGGGAAATGTGCCTGTTGAAAAGAACTCGTGTTGAAAAGAACTCGCTTTAAATTGTTATTCAGTAAGTTTCCTTTCGACTGGCCTTCCAAAAGCCGTTCCACCACACAGAATTTGGAATGCGTTCAGTGTAGAAGTCCTGCATCTCCTTGATTCGATATTTGATGTAAAGTCGGGGGTCTGCCGGAACAAAATACTTGGGGCTCTCGTCACCCTCGGCAAAAAGATCTTTGTAGATCCTCTCCTTGTGCTTCCTTTCAAACTCTGTGTCAGCAAGGCTTGCACTTGACAGCAATGATTGCCGCCATTGATCCAGAGCTTCTCTGAACTTCACTTCGGGGGCGTTCAGACTGGCTTCGCCATGTCCAACACGAAATGTGGAGACCCGAGCGCGGTACAACCAAATGGTTTTCTCCAACTGGCAGCCATAAGCCCGCAACTGACGCCAGCGAGTTCGAGCTTTCAGCATATTCTCAAAGGCAATGATCTTTCAGATGGCATGGGAGATCAATGAAGGGACACTAATGAAGGCATGAATCTGCATAGAAAAAAATTAAAAAACATAGGAAATTATAAACACACATGTTTGGGTGTTGGGGGGTTGCTATTGTCCTCTCTGAGAGTCTAAGTGGATACCAAATTAATGTTCAAGTCATCATTTCAGGACAATGATAAACCAAAGGGCCATCCTTGTGTGCTCCTTCTGTGTGCTTCCTTGTGTGTGATGAGATGCACCTCCTTCACAATGCTTTGGCTCAATTGAACTATTGAGGCTGAGGAGGGTTAGACTCTACTAACTAGTCTGTGTGTTGGCCATGCCTGGTGGGGG